TATGCATTCAGTTCACTTCAGCTCTTTGGCTTTGATACTACACAAAATGTGGAATGTTTGGATTTGGGTTTGTCCAAATCGGTATGTCAGTTTTGCCATTAACATTTTTATGTTGTGTTGTATGAGAGAGATGGCGAGTGAGATGAAGGGATAACAGCTGTGGTCTGGAGATGTACAGCAAATGTGTGTGTGTGTATTAAAAGAAGGTTTTGCAAAATGTTGTGTGATATTGGTAAAAGAACACAGAATATCTCACTAATATCTGTCAGGTTTAGTGGATGTTTGTAGAGGACCCAAATGCAGCAACGGAAGCAGTGCTGGTTTCTTGTAGGTTTAATAATGAATTTGGTTGCAAAAGAAGCATACATCCAGACCAAACAGGCAGGGATCTTAGAAACCAAAACAAGCAGACAAGTGCAAGAAACATACATAAAAATGAAGAGAATCTAGCAAAGAGGAACTGCACAGGAGGTGTATCCATAGGAGAGGCAAACAATGAATGAGCTAATCAGTTGATAGGGAGCAAGTGTGGACAGGATCAACTAAAAGGGATCTAAGGGGGAAGAAAAGAGACAATAGGGGGCAACAAAGAATAACCAAGATAAACAGTAAATGAACTTAAATGAAGGTAAAGGAAGTTTTATGTGTAGCCGTGGGTGAGAAGCATCTAGGAGTGTTCTACTATCACACTGAATTAAATTTTATGACTAGAACCATCTTATAAGCAATTTTGAGAATAACTTCGATAAAAGTGACCAAATTTAGAGATTTTGAAAAGCTTTAATTTTGAAATTTCACATGAGGCCTTGATGATGTTGAGCCAGAAGTATCTAGGGGTGTCCTACTACAGTGGCTGCTGCACTCTGAAGAAGGCGAGGCCCAGTGGTGTCAACTGCCAAGTCAACTAAATGGTTTGACATTATCTCATTATTTCCACAGAACTATTAAGGTCTGGGATTAGGATAAGAGATTATTGGCTGCAATAGAACACTTCACAAAGAGAGATCATATTTCTCCTACCCTAGTCTTTCTTTATTGGCTTCCTGTTAAATAGAATTTAAAATCCTCCTTCTCACATAAAAAGCCTTAAATGGCCAAGCTCCATCTTATATCAGAGATCTGATTGTTCCTTATGCCCCTAACAGAGCACATCGCTCTCCATCTGCAGGTTTGCTAGTGGTTCCTAGAATTTCTAAAAATAGAGTAGGAGGCAGATCTTTTGGTTATCAGGCTCCTCTCCTGTGGAACCAACTACCAGTCTTAGTCTGTGAGGCAGACACCCTGTCTACTTTTAACGGTAGGCTTAAAACTTTCCTTTTTGATAAAGCTTATAGTTAGAGGGGCTCAGGTTGTCCTGAGCTATATCTATAGTTATGCTGCTATAGGCTTAGACTGCTGGAAGACATAAGGATCCCCTGTTTCATCTCTATTCTCCCACTCTGCATAATCTATTAGTTAAATCTCTAACATTTTGCTCTCTCTGCTTTTTCTCATATTAGCTTTGCCTCGTCTGTTCCTGTTTGAACGTGGAACAATCCTGGAGACAAATATCAGCTGTGCGGCTGCCATCAGTACCTTTGTTTATAGATGTTGGAGATTGGCCTGTTTTTCCGGTGTAGTCCTGTTTCTCTGACTGTGACAGGCTGGGTGTGATCTATTCATCCTCTGACATGGGAGCTCGTCTGCCTGGCTGTGTGTTTTCTGGACGGGGCCGCCTTTTATGTACAGTTGCTTTTTGTATCTGTTCTGTCTCTTTAAACCCCAGTCGGCCTTGGCTCACACTGAGCCTGGTTCTGCTGGAGGTTTCTTCCTGTTAAAAGTGAGCTTTTCCTCTCCACTGTCGCTACAAGCATGCTTGGTGTGAGGAATTGGTTTTCCTTGGATGGAAAACATTGAATCAATTGGACTGTATGATCTGGTGAACTGTAAAGTGCCTTGAGATCACATTTGTTGTGAATTAGCGCTCTATAAATAAACTGAATTTAATTGATTTGTTTTAGGGTGAAATTCTACTCCATTGATTTCTTTCCCCATTTATTTGTAAAATGTGCCACCGTTTTGCTCAGGGCCTAGACATGCATGCAGAAGCTATCTTAATGGTTTGGAGCAGAGATGCAGCACAAACACAGTGAAAGAAGCTGATAGAAAAGAGGCTCAATGTGAGGTCTTAAAATAAATCAGTGAACACTTTCAATGTCAGGGTTAAGTTATGCTATGCAGATATGGTAGCTGTCCAGTCTGTCCACTACATGGCTACAACAAAGTTTTCAGAGGTTTTAAGGGGCAGAGAATCTTTATTTGTTAAATTAAATTGAATTAAATATAAAACTACATTACAGTTAAACTAAAGTTTATTTCAGATAAGCTATATTTATGTTTGTCAATAACATTTATGTATTTGAGATTCCTTTACAGTTTCAATTTCAGATTTTTTCCTCAGTTTTTGTTACCCTTCAAGTTTTATTTGTTTATCGTTTGTTTATTTATTTATTTATTTATTTATTTATTTATTTATTTATTTATTTATTTATTTATTTATTTATTCATTAAGTTTTTAATTTATTTCTTAGTTGTATATACAGTATTTTGCCCTTATCAGACAAGGCGGACTGTGGAGTTAAAGCCTCATATATTTCTCTTTTTATGTTGAAATGTTGAAGCTGTACCTAATTATGCAGCCTCTGAGTGTGTATAGTTGATTTCTATTCTAAGAGAAAAACTTATCTGAATTGGTGCAAGTAGAATTATGAGCAACAATCTGGTTAGAAAGTAGATGAGTCAATGGTAACTGGCAGCTAAGGAAGAAATCTGGCTGTACAGAACTTTTAAAGAGATCAGCTTGACAGTAACCTTTAAAACAAAAATTTTAATATTTGATCACTTTAGCTCGACTGTATTCAATTAGTTCCAGTATTCAATTAGTTCCAATTTTCCATTTTCAACTCAATTAATATTAATTTCTGAGCTCAAAAAGTCATTACATAATTTTGTCAGTGTCCTCCGATTTTTATTTTATTTTTTAATGTACATCTGAAATATCAAAAGGACACAATTTCAAGTGTAAAAAAAACATATAGTAGCAGAGCATATGCTTTTCTAAAAACAGGCCACTGAAAGAAATTATTTAACAATTTTTTGGCCATTACTAAATCATATTTAGTTATTTTAACGCAATCTGTTCATTTTAGCAGGGTAGGACATAAACCAATTGAGTTAATGTAACTAAATATAGTAGATGCCAAATCTACTACTACACTAGGGGCGCTGATTGTTCTTTTGTGTAGCTTCATCTAAGCTCTGTCGTTGATCAGTGGTACTGAAAACTTTCATTGGTGGAAACTTTAAATAGATGGAGAGGAGAAGTGCATAATGTCTCATTAAAACAAATCTGCACAAATCATATGGTTAATTCAAATGACATGTACTTATAGTTTCTGATAACAATATCCTGTGTCTACACCTAACATTGACCTAGTGCAATAGCTATATATATAAATATACATCTATATAAATACCCTGTACAATAACCCTGTATAAAAATCCTTCTAAAAAAAAAAAAAAAAAAAAAAAAAAAAAAAAAAAACCTTTTATATGTGGATGCACTGTTTATACATGCACCCTTTTCTTTTTTTTTTCTTTTTTTTAACAGTGTCCTGTCTGGCAATGTGGCAATATAAAGAATAACTGTCTTGATGCCAAAAAAGAGCCCAACAGATTTTGCTTTCACAGGTGGAGCAGTATGGCTATCGCCATAGTGTTCCGCTTTATTTATGCCTATAAATAGCTTAAAATCATGCAGGGTGTATTTAAGATTATATGGACACTGCAATGTAAGTAGAACAGGAAAGGAAATAAAGGAGAAAAGATGAAAGAAAGAGGAGATAAAAGCGAGATGGACCCTTTTCTTCCTTTGGCACATTCTTCTTCTCTCTTTGATTATTTGAGCTGATGTAAGGAGTCAATTTATGTTAGAGTCATTGTCCATTGGTTTTAGCAACAGGTTAGAATTAGCACTTTTCTTTAATCAGTCATGTGAAAATGATATATTAACTCTTCTTCACATTTTTTTTTTTTGGAAAAACCTGTTTCTTTCTTATCACAAAAAATGTAACTGTATACAATTCTATTTCATATATTTTTATTTGCTGCCTTGTACATTGCAATATAAATATTGTTTCCAGATTATATTAAGGTACACAAACAAACAGATGAGAATATAAAGAGAAAAAATAAGTACTACCAGCACGTACTCAGCACTGAGGTCATGTCCTCAGTATTTTTCCATTTTTTTTAATTATTATTTTTTATTCAGAGCAATGTCAAACTATATGATGAAAATTATTCTGACTTTGATTGGTGTAAAGATCAGCATGCATTCAAATTTATATATATATATATATATATATATATATATAAAAAAAAGTCCACAATGATATATTATTTATTGCAAGTCATTTGATTCATTTAGTGTGCCATGCACATGCATGGTGATGATGGTGACAATAATAAAAGTAATAATAATAATAATAACACTAAAATACTCTAAATTTGTTTTTTGGAATTGTTATAATAAACATTTTCATATTCACCTCCTTGATGGGCTTGTGATTTAACTCTCTTTATGCACGTTTCCAAATATATTTTAAAAAGTCAACATATTATGATGCTTTTTGTCAAGTAAGATTTATCGCAATATTTGACCTCGGTATTTCAAAAATCCTGTTTACGGCCCTGAGTACTACAATAAACAGTTTTTTCATGGAAGTAATCAAACAGTACACCTCTACATCGTTTAATCGGCATTTTTGTATCTTTGCGGACATTGATTCGCCTAGATTTGCATTTAGCGTAGTGCTGATGTAAAAATAAACTCAGCTGTAAGTAAGAATATATTTAACAAGCTGTTTAGTTCTAAAGATGTGGAACACAAGCGGAAACGCTGCGGAGGGATACAGCGTTTATCCTCTTCTTCTTCTTTTTTTTTTTTTAACAAGCGCGGAGGGATAACACCGGCGTGGCTGGACTGAGGTTTCCGGGGCAACATTAGAGTAAAGACTTTACGTATTTCCTGAACCATACATATATTTATCCATCTTTTTTGGATTAACTGTTAAGCTTACGACTCCTGTCGCAATTTAAAGAGATAATCATAAATAATAAATTTGACACAGTCGCAGAGGTTGGACATTTTCAACGGAACAATGGTGAGTATGGAGCTAAGGCTTAGCATTTGTTAGCATGTTAGCAAGGCGTCGCTAGTGTCGCGCTGCTGTGGGTATCACCATCAATCTTAACTTCACTCCTATCTTAATGGTTGTGTTTCTTGAAAGGTTATCAAACCCCAAATAAAATAATTTGATTCATATGTTTTCACGCAATAACCGTAGAGAAGATTATCTTACTTGTGGTAATTTCTAGATTTATATCAGGAGCTTGCATTAAAGGGTGCTACCTAATTAGCATTTTTTTATCTAGCGCGGATTGAATCATTTATTTAAAAAAAAAAAAATCAAAGCTAAACCGAGCAGTTAGGTTATTTGGAGCGCGTGCATGCTGAAAGGTTTGCAGCATGTTATTTTCTTTTACTCGTCAGTGGGCGTGGCTGCAGCTGCATTGACTGGCCGTGTTATAATAGTCTGAATCCACAGCCCAACAGTGTTAATTCTGCAATAAAACCGCTGCTGCTCGGGTCGGATGGCATGTCGAAAACCATCTTGTCATTCCACGTTAGCCTTTACCGCAGCAGACACATCAGCAGGGTGGTTAGAATCTAGTTGGACATGCGCAACAAGCAGAACGGCTTCCATTAGACTGCGATTGCATAACAGTACAGCTTGCAGGTGGCAGTTGGCTGCACACGTTTAGATACAGATAGAAAGTGTTTTGTGGTTAGTGGATGGCGGATTGATCTAGGCTTCACCGCCATTCTCATCCACTACGTATTGCGCCATAACGTTCAGCCGCATTCTGCTTCTCCTGCTGAATGATCATCTTTGCCACCCCCCTCCTCTCTTGTCTTCCCTTCCTCCCCCCTGCATTGAACCAAAAACATGTTTGGTGCAGCAGCCGCAGTGCATCCACCAAATCGGGAACTAACTCGTTCGATTAGCTGCCTCTTTCCTGTCCTGTTCTGTGTTTCATTGATCTCTTAATTAAATGAGCCACGTTGCTGTTGGTGTCAATAGACACCCATGCATCATGTCTGTTTTGTGGGCTATCATTCTCTCTGATATGCTGCTCTATCATTTCTTTCCTAAAATGGAAAAAATAAAAGGGTTTGCATTCTCACCCTAAGGATATATAATATTTATATAATCCCTTGCTTACTTATAATTTCAAATACATTTTAACTGCAACAGCTGTGTTGCCTGCTGTCCTGTTGCACTGAGAGTTTCTCCATCATATGATATTTCTTTTTGCTCTGGACAGCATGTGGATTTTCTGCAGCCCCATCCCATCCAACAGGGTGACTCACTGATTTTGATTGAAAGAACACATGGCATTACCAGCACCTCAGGCTCCAACCATGTTAGCTTTGAATTTATTTATTTTTGTAAGGGAAATAATTTTTAAATCTCATTATTTAAATTTTACCAAAGCATCAAGAAATCTCAAATCATTATCTACCTAAAGATGGCCTGCAATGTTGAGCTTTCTTCCAACATGCATCAAAGTAATGTGAGTGGTGCAGAGTGTAATAATACGGCTCATTCAGCTGTTATCCCACCATTTCCTTCAGGATGCAAACATTGTCTAAGCAGTAGATAAAGACAATATATAATGGGGGTTGTTGATTTTATGAAAACAACTAATAAATGTGCTCAGAAAAGAATGGTACTGCTGTGATATTCGGTGTGCTACATAGGCGACCCTGTTCGTGTCTCACTAATTATAGAAGGCATGTGTATTTTGGTCTGCGAAGAATTTATACCCGTCACACTTTCTAAGCCTGAAGTGGACTCAGCAGCGGGCTTAAATAGGACTCTTAAAAGTTTACCATCAGGGGAGGACGATCTCTTAGATGGCGTTAAGTGTTAGTTCCCATAAGGGAAAAATAAGTTGAGCACATGGGGATATTATTCTCACACAGTTAGTAAATGTTTGCCCCACAGATGTAGAGCAAACTTTATTATCAGTCCAGTTTTAGTTGTAAGCTTTCACTGTAGAAAATGAGTCTTAGATTAAAAGCAATGGTCCAGCTGCTGCGTGGTGTTGGTGTGTTTTAAGGAGGTGGAGCCTTTGCAAAATTGTTCTTGGATTTATGGATTTTTGAATTTTATTTAAGTCCTGTGATGAATTTGTATGCAGAGCCTATTTGGCATGTTGTGATGTTGTTTTAAACTTAATATAGGAAGAAAAGCTGTCTGTTAGGCGACTCTTTCCATAACAGTTGAATTTTTCTGTTCCACTTTTATTACCGTTTTGTTAAAATATTTTTTTTCTATCTGGGGAAAGATTTATCAAATTCATATTGTATATGAATTATTACTTAACATGTCTTCCTTTCAACTCATGTTTTCCTAAATAGATTCTACTCCATAATGTACCGGTAATTTAAAAAGAGCCTCTTTTAAAGGGGTCTGTCTGTGCTTCTGTAATGTTTTATACTTTTGTTTACAGGCTGATCAGCTGACAGAGGAACAGATTGCTGGTGAGTTTGTGCCTTAATTCATATTATAATTTGATCAATAAAACAATGTCAAAGATTAGAGGAAGCAAAACATTGATTGAAAAGAAGGTTCCATTCTGCCTTTACAAGTACGGGTCTATTCTTTTAAATATACTTACCAGAGAACTAGTCAGTTCGTTTTTTAAGGATTTTATCTCTGAATGTGAAGCTTTTTGGTTTTGGAAGACAGAACATTTAATAAGAATGGAAAATCATAAGAGTTTATTTATCTTTCATATTGGAAGCATTTTATATCACTTTATATTCTGAGTTTACGACCAAAGATCTACTCAGTTTCTACTCTACGGGTTAGTGTCATAAAGTCTCCAAACTGTTTTGTTTCTCCTCTGTGTTGAAAGCTTTTATTGATACCTTGTTAATGCTTGTTTTGTCTGAAGCAAACTGTGAGCATTGTTTCTGTTCATGTACAGAGTTTAAGGAGGCGTTCTCACTCTTTGACAAGGATGGGGATGGAACAATTACAACCAAGGAGCTTGGCACGGTGATGCGCTCTCTGGGACAGAACCCTACTGAAGCTGAACTGCAGGACATGATAAATGAGGTTGATGCTGACGGTAAAGAAAACAAATGTTCATTAACCATCTTATTCCCATAAAAAAAAAGGACACCTGCAGTACTTAAATTAGAAAGTATTATTACAGATTTGTGTCAACCACACTCCATAGAGGGAATTCAGCTACTTTTTATTTAACTTTCCCAAGTACCAAATGAATGCAACTAACTTGCTTTTTTTGTTTATCTTTGTAGGTAATGGGACAATTGACTTTCCAGAGTTTCTTACTATGATGGCGAGGAAAATGAAAGATACAGATAGTGAGGAGGAGATCAGAGAAGCTTTCAGGGTTTTTGACAAGGTACTGTAGAAGAGTCCCTACCTATGGGATTTTAAAACCTTTGAGATGGCTGAAAAAAAGCAAAATTTTCCATGCTAAATTAAAAATTGAAAAATTGTCTAAATGTTAGGAGATAAATTGTTCAATTTGAGTTAAAAAATATGCAGTGAAAGGTTTCTATTCCGGGGTTTTATTAAATGCAAAAAAAAAATGAAATTATCATATTTATACTTAAGCATGTACTTAATATCAAAATATGTTCTTTGAACTAGTGCACAGGGACAAATTACCCGGTCATTTTCACATGTATCAGGGTTCACCACATGTGATTATGACTGCTGTTTTGAATAATGTACTTCCAGTGATGATTAAGAAATGTGTAACTTAGTTCATGTTCAGTCCAAAGTAAGTTTTATAAACTGTTCCTCTGGGAAAAAAAAGAAAATACAAAATAAGTTATTTGGCGACAAGATTGCAGGTTTTAGAAAACAATTCGGACAGACGCTGGAACAATCTTCCAGTAAAACCTTGAAACTATATTGTAGATAAGCTGTGCAGCATTCATCTTTATGTATTTTTCGGTGTTCCTCTTCTTATTCCTATTGAGACAGAAGTCTTGTTTACACGAGATGCAGCAATACGAAATGAATATGCAGTAAAAACAATAATTAAGGAGATTTTATATCCGGATTTATCAGACACTATCAAACACCACCCCGTGTTGCCTTCTCTGTCGATCTTTAAACAAGTACAATCCTTCATTTGGATCGAGCTGCGCTGCTGGTTCCTGTTGTGGTTTTTCGCGAGTGGGGGCGGCGTAGTGAAATGCCAGATTGAGTACATACTGAATCAATTTAAATATCAGAGTGTGAACTGAGTTCACAGAAAACAAATGTCACTAATTTAGAAGCCTGACATCAAAAATTAAAAGCACTGCTTCTGAACGTTGTTCATTGTTCATTTTGGTTTTTTTCTCTCATATTCTATTTAGTTTACTTTTAGTGGTTGATCATTTAGTGATCGGTTTTCTGTAGTCAAACTTTGCATGCCTGGATTATTGGTCACAAAGATTGGCATATTTCCCAATAAAATTGGTATCGGTTTTTGCAAGTACAGGCTAATATGTTTTTACACAGTGGAGCCAAACTGGAGCATAAACCTAATTTTGGAGATGGATTATTGAGGAGTATATAGGATTCTGTGGGTGGACTCTTATTATGTCTGTTTTTATCCTTAAAAAGGAGCTTGTGTCCTGGTTCTGCCAGGTCAAGGTACATTTTAGATCATATTGTCCAAACTTAAGATTTTATTCTCCTCTTTGCAGGACGGTAATGGTTACATCAGTGCAGCAGAGCTACGGCATGTAATGACCAACCTAGGTGAGAAGCTCACCGACGAGGAAGTGGATGAGATGATCCGCGAGGCTGATATTGATGGCGATGGCCAAGTTAACTATGAGGGTGAGTCTAAACACTCTTTAAACTTGGCGATTAATTGCTTGGTAATTTCAATGAATTATTTCCTAAATTTGTTGTATCTGTTATTGTTTTACGCCCTTCCAGAGTTCGTCCAGATGATGACTGCCAAGTGAAGAGAGCGCTGAAACTTCTCAATGTTGCTCGTCCCACTAAGATTACCGTTGTTTAAGAACTAAAAAGCAGGAACAGTTATCAAATGTCGAACATTTACCCTCTTCAAAAGTGAACAAAAAAATATCACTCACCAGTAGGATTTTTTCAATGTGTGCTTCAAAACATCCAAAAATACTTCTAAGGTGTCTGTTTAAAAAAAACTAAACAAAAAAACACCAACAGAATAATCCCTAAAGAAGTTAAAGGACCAAGCTTTAAGAGGGCCAAAGTCCTCCAATTTCAGACCAAGAATTTGCTGACTCACCCAGCTGCTGATTAATTTAGAGGAGAGAGCAACACCAGACAGGTAGATGGATAGAAATTAAATCTATACTCTGTACAGAGAAGGTGGCTTTTTAAATCTTTACAGATAGTCTATAACAAAGAAAACTGTCATGCACATGTGTTAGGTCTCTTTGGGAAAAAAAAAAGAATAATTCGAGTACTCTTTATGCATGCGCCCTTTTCGTGGCCGTCTCTTGTGACAACAAGGAGGCTCTGAACCCATCAGAGGTAGTGCTCAGCTCGTGTACACACAGGAGGTATATACATTAACATATAGCTATATATCTGTACAATTTGTGTCACTATTGATTATTGCAAGAGCAGTTAGTTGAGATGTAGGGTGTTTATTGTGCTCGGCAGGAGGTGAGGGACTTGGCAGAGTTCAGCAACAGAACAAGAACTTGAAGCGTAAAGAAGTCTTTTTCCTCGTGGGTTATAATGTGGTGTTTTGAGCTTGTAGGCTTTATGCAGCCTGCAGCACAGATATGGGACAGCTGCACTTTGTGCTGTTTTGAAACGATTACCGTGGGAGGAAAAACCGTTATAACTGCAGTTAATGCATTTGTTCTTCAAACCAATATGAAAAAATATCGATGTGATGCTTTTTAAATGTGTTCTCATATTAATGTATCAACAACAAACTTTGGTTACAAAATATATCTATATATTCGTGTATCGTAAAGTTTGCATTGCCTATTGTTCTAGTAAGAGATCTGTGACATGTTTCCTCTTCAGTTTTGAAATGTGCCATTATACTCTTTAAATACAGCTCACCCTTGCAAAGCTCATAGATCATCAGAATATTATAAACTTATAACCATGTAAACCTTCATGCAGTTGCACTTTGGTATCAACCACGTGGATGTTTAAAAAGTTCTAAAAGAAGCAAAACAAACCAAATGTCACTGTTGCTGCTGCTAAAAAAGCGCATATGTTTCACTCATGTATTGTATTTGTGTCAGCTCTTCAATTTGTTGTCCAGTGAGCCAACTCAAGTCTGCTTGTTGTTTTTCTGCACCAAATTCATATATTGTATATCTACAAATACTATTTATGGTGGGGCTGTTGTGTTTATGGGACCCTGTAGATGGGATATGAAAATGTTTTGTAGCAAAGATGTAGATGTGCTTTTGGTTTAAGTGTAAGGTTTTTAAATTGTTGGCTTCTGAAAGATTTGGGGGTAAACATTATACCAGAATAACTTATGATTTCTGCAAACATTAAGTTTGAAATGCAGCTTTGAGGTGTTTTTTTTTTCTTTTTTTTTTTTTTTTTTTAGATGTTTGGGAAAAAAAAGTTTAATGGAATAAAAACTGAAGGTATCTCACAAATGTAAAAATGTGATATATTTTCCATAAACCAATAAATTAAGCTTTACTTCACCTACACTTGCTTGGCAACCTTTATTTTAAATGCTACAGTGGCCTCTGTCTTAATGCACAAGATGGGAAGTTGAGCCAACAGCCTTAAAATAAATGCAGCTTTTAATAATAGAAGCTTATTAAAAAACAAAATCCTGTTTTTAGAAATTATCAAACATTTGTTTGTAAAATATACTGATATTTGTTGATTCTCTGATTTTTAAGAACAGGCTTTTGGGCATTTTAACAATTTGGTTGATCAGTGTCAAACCCTTATTTCTTATTGTTGACTTTGTTTACTCAGTCCCTTAACTACTTTTTAAAATGGTAAAAGAAAATGTTCTTGAGCCAGGAGTAGCTGTTTGTCATTTCACGCCTTTACTGTTAAGTTTTGTGTACATTTTGAACAAAAAATAGAGCAGTCTGTCATCGGATGTTTAACACTTCTCTTGTCAGTTTTCACCCAGTTAGAGAATCAGGCTTAAAGAAATAAAAAAATAGAAACAGCAGATCATAGCTGAGATTTATTTTGGTTAGATCAAGACACATACTCTTATTTTCACAAGAGCAAATAAGTTAAAATGAGATCAATAATATATTGAAATGTGTTTTAGAAGATAATACACAACTAAAATAGGTATTCTGCATTTGTATGATTGTCATACTGTTTTAAAATGATAGTTGAATAGCAGAAAAAGGACCCATAAAAAGCAGAAAATATCTACAAAAATAACTGCTTGATTAAATGGGTACCTGCTTACAGTTAGCATGATAAGAAACGTAACATAATTTGGACTTTGACAGGTCTAGTTAAGAACAAAAGCATATTTTTCCAACGAGAAGAAATCTCTTAATGATCAAATGAATCAGTGTTAGGATGTTACTGAAACAAAAACATAAAGCACAGATTCAACAGCAGGATGCTGCATGAAGAAGTGGGCCTGTTGGCCTAAAATACCTCTCTGGCTGAGCTATAACAGAGCTCTAATCCAGCCAGCCTCAGACTGGGTCAGGGCAGGACCGGTCACTGTAGCCCTTCACTACAGAAACTCTCAGGCACGTTATTATTAGCGGCTCAAGAGATATCTATAGGAGCCTGTAGTAATCCAGGTCAGCAGAGGTCATAACCTCTTGCACACAGTGCTAAGCATCTCACTGACTGGCCTAGTGGTGAGCCAATGGGAAGTGGTTTTATCTGGAGCAGATGTATTTGATTGGATGTGAATCTACATACTAAATTTATGCTTAAGTGGATAAGTTGAATGAGTTTAGAAATTGGATCTAATCTTGCAAGACAACAGAATTACCAGCAGGTGTGATCATCCAGCTCTGGTTGTATAATAGAAGACTGGAGCAAAAATTGTGCCAACAGCAACAACTTAAGTCATTGAGATAAAAGCAAGGCTTTAAATGTCTTTGACTGATGTGAGAATAGAAATGTGTACCTGATTTTAAAGTTGTACTGCTTTAAAGTTCGATCACATCACTGTCTTTTAATTGCTTAAGATTGATTCTTTTTAGAGAAATGTAGAGAGAATTTTAGAGAGTTTACAAAGTGATTTGATTACATTTCTCTGGTTTCTCCAGTCCGACAGGTTTTAAAGTGGGCAGTTAAAAGCTTTCTAGAAAGCCTTTGGGTTTTATGAGACTTTTTTTTAAGTGAAGCTTTTGCTTTAATGACAAACTTTGGGCAACCACGGAAATCTTTTATGGTTTCCTGTTGTTGCAGCCCGCTGGGTTTTCCCTAAAGGGAAATTATCTTTGACTTTAAAAGAAACTGCCCTAAATCAACATTGGTTAAGCCGCTAATACCACATGCAATCAATCAATCAATCAAAAAAAAAAAAAGATTTCTTTAGAAATAAATGTCTTAGCATTATACCTTCACAGAACATCCTGTTTAAGTTTTTTTCAAGATGTGCAATAAGAGTTTTTCACACACCTGAACCACAGACTAACCAGTACATATTTTCTATAAACCCATGCTACTTTTACAAGAGCTAGAAACCCCCCAATCAAAAAAAAAGCCAGTAGAGGGAAACCTGGAAACCTGTTAACAGAGTCATAAATTATGAGGCTATTTTCAGTGTTTCTGTTGTTTATATCTGGCCTAGAATAGAGTAAGTTTAATTAAAATAGAAAATTAATTTATTGACCCATAGTGGGAAAATGTATTTTTTTTAAGCAGCAAATAAAGAGAAGAATAAAAACTAGTTTTGTTAAGGCTTACTTAGATTAGATAAAATTTTCAAATTAATAAATTATTTGAAAGTGTGTAAAACCTTTATGTTTAATTCTGCTTAATTAAACACAGTAATGAACCATTTACAAAATCAATAGAAGAAAAAATCAAATTAACTTCAGCAATTTAAACAGATTATTTTGTTTGCTTGATCCATTGACCATTGCTGTTAGGCATAATCTGCAATAAAATGCTCTGTTGTGGGCCTATGAACCTGGTTGAACTTTCTCTTTAAACTGCCTGGAGACGACATGTGCTGTGAATTGGTTCTATTTAAATAAACTGAATCGAACTGAACTATGGTACAACTGTCAGTCAGTGAAGTTCTCCAGATCTGTAACAGATCGCATTTACCATAGATAGTGCTGCTGTAGTTATAGTTAGAGTGGCTCGGGTTATCCTGAGCTACCTCTATAGTTATGCTGCTATAGCCTTAGAGTGTTTGAGGACTGACAGAATTTTTCATCATTTTGCTTCATTCTATCTCTTCTCCAGGTCTGCACTATTTCTTAGTTCAATCTCTATAGTTATGCTCTCTCTGCTTTTTCTCATCATAGTAGCTCCTGTTCAGCTTTGACGCCATACTGGAAAGAAGAATAAGCTGTGCTGATGCCATCAACAGTGTAGTCCTGTTTCTCTGACTGTGACTAACTATAGGTGCTCTCTTTCATCCTCTGACATTGCCTGGCTGTATCTTTCCTGGATGGGGCCGCCTGTGGAGCTAGTTAACAGTTACCTGTTGTATCCCTGCTTTGTGCGCTTATGTCTCCTTATAACCCTGTCGGCCTCTGCAGATGACTGATCATACTAAGCCTGGATCTGTAGGAGGTTGCTTCCTGTGCAAAAGGGAGTTTTCTTGCCCACTATCGCTACAAGCATGCTTGGTGTGGGGGATTTATGTTTAGTCAATGAGCTTACACAATCAGCTGGGTTTTTTTTTGTTAGAACACTTTAAACCGATCTAACTGTATTATCTCGTTGAATCATCTCAGAGATCTTGAAATGACTTGTTGTGAATTGGTGCTATATAAATAAACAGAATTCAATTGTAACCTTTCAGTTGTGAGGGACTGCATAGGCACAGAGTTGTAAACACTATTGCTTTGCAGCAAGAAGGTTTTTAGTTTGAATTCCAGCTTTTGTGACTTTTTGCATGGAGTTTGCATGTTTTCCCTGTCACTAGGCTACATATCACTAGGCCAGATGTCACTAGACCCACACATTCTTTAAAATCATGGTATGTTTGACGTCAAAATCGGAAAGAAGTTCCGTATTTTTTAACTATAGATTTAAAAATATACTTGTTAAGGATAGATTATTAAGAATCTACTTTTTTTTTCTTTTTTTTTTTTTTTTTATACAATGACTTGTTCTAAATCCATTAAATATAATGCAATTTGGATGATCAAAACATAAAAAAAAAAAGCCTTATCATAAGTTTCTCATCACTGGGAGCTAGAAGGTAAAGCTTTTGAACAGCACATGTAAACAATCTGTGACTGTATTGCATTGCACTAATGCAGATGACTATAAAAGTGCTTGA